ATTAAACTTGATCAAATTTCCTTAGAAATAAGACCAAAGGGGCTCACACAGATAATCTACCCAAATTCCAGAAACCTCTGGACACATCCGAAAGGCACTGACCAGACAGATACCTTACTAATCTGTTGCCCCATTGATCAAATATTTGGCCTCCTTATTAGTCTAGAATGTCTTTTTCCTTGGCATGTGTTCTCTGAGTTACTTTATATATCTGGACTTGATTAAAGTGTATGTTTTAAAATATATATTTCCTCTATCCTTTTTACTCCCCATTCACTCATGAATTTTCCTTGTAATTTGTTTGTCATCCTCATATTACAAGGAAGAAGCCAACATTTTCCCAGAGAAGCCTAAACATATACCAGATCAGCTTCTCCTTACTCTTACAACTACCATGATGATGGCAAAAAACCTGGCTATTTGGTAGAAATGCCAAATAAGAAATGAATCAGCATAACTATTTGTCATTAATTATCTTGTATACTGATGTAATATTAAATTTTTCTAAAGAACCCAGAAGAATTGGCATATAGGTGAATGGGACGCTGGATTTAGAGTCCCAAAAAAGGACCTGAGTTCAAATCCTGCCTTAAATATTTACTAGCTTTGTAACCCTGGGCAAGTTACTTAATTTCTTTCAGACCTAATTCCTTCATCTTTAAAATGGGCATACTAACAAAACTTACCTTGTTGTGAGAATTGCATGATATATGTGTGTGTACGTATATATATATGTATATTGCTTTTCAAACCTTTAAATGCCATACAAATGCTAGCTAATATTATTATTGAATATATCATCTTGTGAGTTCTTCGTATATTTCCATAAGGTAGTGTGAGGTTGAAAAAAAGTTACTATTATCACTGAATTACAGATAAGGAAATTAAGGCACAGAGTGATTTGAAGGATTAGTCAGGCGAAGAATTAGAGGCAAACCTGGGAGGCAATAATAGCAATGACTTAATTCTGGGAGGAATAAAGAAACTTCTTCACACAAATCTTGTTAGACAATACAAGCATTATTATCCCCATTTTATAGATGGGGAAATTGAGTTTTAGTAAGATTAAATTATTTCATTTTTGCTCCATGGTATGTGTTAGAATCAGGATTCAAAGTTCTTTCCGTCACCTAGTATTGCCTCTCTAAAGGAATAGAATGAGCTTCCCTAGTTTCAGAGTTTGCTATCACTTTCTCAAGAAGAACCACTGCATTAGATAGCAGTTGATAATTTTAGCAAGGCCAAAGATCATAGGATCATAGATTTCAACTTGGCAAAGGCTGGAAGTTAGTATAGCAATCTGGATAAACAAATTAAAAAATAAAACAACACCCCATGATTCCAAGTTATAGCACAGTTTCTAAGGGTGCAAGTTATAACTGCTTCCTCTCACAACTCACTAAAAGAGGGGAAAGGTACAAATGCTCAGTCACCATCTTAGGTAGTCCAAGCTATCTGTAAGGAGAAGGTTACCTATGTATTTCTGTGGAAGATCATAGTTCTGCTACCTTCTTCAGAGAGTCGTTGTGAGAATACCAGGTGTACTGAAAGGTGATATGGTGTAGTAGACAGAACACTGGACTTCGAGTCAGGAAAGCCGGGGATCAGCTCCTGCTTCAGACACTTAACTAGCTAGTGTGATGTTAGGCAAGTCTTTGAATCTCTGTGAAACTCAGTTTTCTCATCTGTAAAATGGAGATATTAATATTTATATTGCCTACCTAACAGGGTATGAGATAATATAGCTAAAATGTTCTATAAACATTATGGGTCTATGTTAAGGTTAGTAATTATTATTAAAATTTTAAAGCACTATAGAAATGAGTTATTATGGTTCTTTGCATTATCATAATGTTTACTGCCCCCTCTCTCCCTGACATTTTGCATATGCTGTTTCTGTCCTGAGTATGAAACAGAAGCCAATGGACTTCCAAAGTCCCCTTTCCCTAAATTTTCATTCAAAGTCTACTCTAGTGATGATATACATTTTCTTTTGAGCTCTTCATGGTACTTATAGCAAATTAATCCGAGTTTTCAGCTTCCTAAAATTAACCAGAAGAGTGTGTATGTGTGTATGTGTGTGTGTGTGTATGTATGTGTATGTGTGTGTGTAAATGGAAACTGTGAAACTCAAGTAACATTGTAAAGGTGTTTGAAACTTGCTCCTATTGTAATTTGTGTACCAAACTCCTTTATTTTTAGCCTGTCTTCAGGAAGACCAGACCAGCTAAGTACTCTCCCTTTCTTCCTTTATGAACCTCCTGACATATTACGTGATGAAACACACTGTTGGAGGGAAAATGGTTGAACAAATGGGTTTGTTCCTCTTGACCAAACAACATAGGATTGATAGTATAGTGGCCTCAGTCACTTGGGGAGAAGCTGTTCAATAGGAAAGGCAAATGTTTAAGACACTAACACTTAATTCAGTAGCTATATGTAAAGCCTTAGACACAACTATGCTAGAAAAGAGTATGACATTTTAGCCTTTACTATCAAACTCTAGCAAACATGTTATATATTTTAGAATACTTCCACAGGCACCAATGTTTGTCTTTTATTGTGTCATCTAGCCAAACCATTGTTTCTCTGAATGTTATTCAATGATATAAGTGTACGAACCTAGAAGGGAGTAAGACAGAGGCAATATATCACATTAACTTGACTTATGTGTATATTGATAGAGCTTTACAAAGTATTATCTTCACAATAATGCTGTAAGCTAGGTTGTGCAAATAGTACTGTCCCTGTTTTACACATGAGGAAAATGAGGCTCAGAGAGATTAAGTAACTTACTGAAGGTCACAGAATCACTAACTATGAGAGCTGGAATTAACACCCAGGTCCCTCCAGGCTTTCACTGAACTGCTATTTCTTGGTCTTAGCATAATATATTCTGATGCCATGGGGAGCAACTCCTCCTGATTTACTTGGATTCTTAATCTTCCTTAGGGAAAATAACAAGGATTTTTTTTTCACATCCTATCCCAATATTTTTGTAGATCACAAACCAGGCAAATGTACTGAGAGGTGATATGGTGTAGTAGAGAAAACACTGGACTTGGAGTCAGGAAAGTCGGGGGTCAGCTCCTGCTTCAGACACTTAACTAGATAGTGTGATGTTAGGCAAGTCTTTGAATCTCTGTGAAACTCAGTTTTCTCATCTGTAAAATGGAGATATTAATGTTTATATTGCCTACCTAACAGGGTATGAGATAATATAGCTAAAATATAGCCTTAGTGAATAGTAGGGATATTTCTTCTATGACTGGAAGAAAGGAGAAGAGAATAAATGATAACACTGTGACAGTTTAATGGATTCTTAAGCAAGGATGAAGAAACATGCTAAATGACTTCAACCAGATCTTATTAAAGTGGGATACCAGGTCATCTGAAGTGGGAGAGGGGTGGTGGCAAGAGTCAATAAGAAAAGGGGAAAGCTGTAATGAGATAAGGACTTGGTAACCATAGGATAGAAAGATTGTAAAATAGCATCAGGGGTCCAAGTGAAGTCATGTACTTCATGAATTTGTAGTGGGTGAAATCAGTTGGGACCCATTTCCTCCAACTCCCCTCAGAAGTGAATTTTGGGCACTGTGTGGTAGTTCAATAATTGCCATGAGAAAAATTGCATTGTCTTAAAGGACTATTAGCATCTTCAAGTCCCTGCCCCAACCAATAATCAGGCAGGACCATTTCACAAAACTAAATTTAATTAATATTTCAAGATTTCAGTAATCATTTGTGTATACTGATTGTTCTTTCTTGTGTCCATCACATAGAACGTAGAATATTTTGTCCCCTCTTTGCTATTATTGGCCCTCTGCAAAGGTCCTACTCCAATGTTTCCAGTAACTGTGGATTTTCAAAGCTTTTGCCCACAGAGTGAAAACTGGCAGGTTCTACCAAGCTGGAAAGGCTTTGAGTATGGCAGATGTGTGTATGTGCACGTGCACATGTATATGCCAATCAAGACCTATGCTAGCTAATTACAGAGAGATATTTTAGTCACCACATGAAGAGCTACTTTGGGCCACAGCAAATAATTATGACACTGTTTGGGAAAAAAAGCATGGAATTGCAATCTGACTTGCTACAGGGTGCACCTACACCATTTAATTACTGGTAAAGTCATAAGAGGGGCAGCATAATTTAGTGAAAAAAGCACTATATTTGGAGACCTAGATTCACATCTAACTATATTATCTGTGCAACCTTAGGCTAGTCATTCACCATCTCATGAGCTTGATTTCATCATTTTGCAAAAGAAGGAACTTGAACTCAGTCATCTGTTAAGATCTATTCTCACCCTCAATCCTATCTTGTATAGAATCATGGGATCAATAATCAGTTGTTAATAAACATTCATCAAGAGCCTACTGTGTGCCAGGTACTGAGCTAAGCTCTGCAGGATACAAATACATAAAGGAAAGATAGTCCTTGCCTTCAAGGAACTTACAATCTAATGGAAGAAGACAAACACAATAGAAGGAACATAGATTTAGAATTTGAAGAAACCATAAAGGTCAGCAGATTGAATCCCTTCATTTTACAGATGAGAAAATTGAGGCCCAGAGAGGTTAACTGACTAACTCAAAAACACACAGTAAACAGCTGAGACAAGATTCAGACCCAGGTCTTCCTGACCCCAAGTCCAGCACTCTGTCCTATATCACAGTACTTCTCTCTTTGGTTCACATTGAAGTAAATATAGAAGTGAGAAGTCATCTACATGACATATAATTTGGTAAAATTTTGGTTTGCTGTGTTTAAGAAAAGCATAACTTTGGGGCACTTACAGTAAAAGGTACAGAAAAGTTTAATTGATTTGTGACAAGGCTAAAGTCTCTAAAGAGATTAAAAGAAATTCAGTAAATTAGAAAAGTGCCATTTAGTATCATTTGAGACTTCATTTAGCTCTTCCATACTTTATATGGTTATTGAAAGATGGTATTACCTTTTGGACTAGTGTCATGTCTTTTTTTTTTTTTTAACTCTAGATCATTAAACTGCTAGATGGAAAAAGATCTCAGACTGTGGGAATTTTGATATCTAGCTTGCATTTAGAAATGAAAGATATCCAACAAGGTAAGTCTCTTTTGGTTCATTTATTATTTTTTAAAAATAAAGACTATTATTACTTTTTACCCTGATTCTGCTAAAAACAGAATAAGTTTGACCAAAGGATAATTTATGTGTATCTGTTATTCTATAAATAAATGTCAAATTAATTATTTTTTTCTAAAAGAATATTATCTAGCAAAGGGAAGCAATTCCAAAGCCAAATTGACTTCTGTGTCATACCTGTTCTAAAATCTGTATCCAAAATGAAAGCACTCCCCCTTCCTCCTCTATACTCAATTGAATGTAAATCCTTATTTTTTTTCCATTTCACTTGCAATATGTTCTAATTACAATATTTCAGGGATATTTTAGTAGTGTTTAACACTGGTTTTAGCAGTGGAGAAACTCTGAATCTCTACTTCCCTTTAAGGTTTGTCTATCAAAACTATTTTGTTTTGGCTTCTGTTGAGGCCTCTTAAAATCCCTGAACCAAGAGACTCTGCTTTGCCTTTCCAGGAAACTCTTTGTATTTGTTAGGTATTTAATTTCTTGCTCCAGTTTGTAAAAATCCATTCAGAACTATTAAAAAAAAAAAAGATGACAGCCACACTGTAATTAAACTGACTGGCCTAGATTCTAGATCCCACTATTGGAATAGGAGAAATAAGAGTGAATCCCAACAACATAAGCTGCCATGAATTAGATGGAAAGATTCTTTGAGAAGATTTTTTAGTTTATGTTGCCAAGGACATTTCTTCTGGAAGTATTGTTATGAAATTTTAACAATAACTCTGATTTGGAAGACATTTTGTAAAATGACGAACCCTAATCTCGGTTAGCCCAGTGCAGTATGGTATGCACTGAGATGATTTGTTCTCAGAACCACGTGTAGCCCATATCATTCCAAGTCTCTTGGGTCATGGCTTCTTTAATCTTTAAGCTCGTCCTTTTTTCTTACTGTCATTTACCTGTTTAATCATTATCTCAAGGGCGATCAAATGGAGTCGTTCAAAGGGCTAAGATTTTCAAGTCTCCCGAAAGATAGAAGCTTTGAGGATTAAAAACACAACAAAAAAAACAGTGCCTGATGGCCAAAGGAAGAAAATAGGTGATGAAGATAAAATGGGGTGACTAAGACCAGGCCAAGATAAGCAAAAACAACTGGAAGAACAGAAAGAGGGAATGAATGAAATGGATGAATGAAAAACATTAATTAAGTGCTTACTATGTACCAGCATTGTGCAAAGTGCTATGGATACAAATAGAAAAACCGGACAGCCCCTGCTCTCAAGCAGCTCACAGTCTAATTAAGGGAACCAGCATGAAAAAGAAAGTCCAGCTGAATGAAAAATTAAAAAAGACAGTAATTGTAGGGCAAATGGCAAGGTCTGGGGGCAAAATAAATGCTTTGGTTGTATTTATGGAAAGATTGAGGGGTTTGCTTTTGGTGGAATCAGCTTTTTGGTGGAATCAGATAGGTACTTATAGGGAAGTAATTGGAAGCAATTGTAAGAAATTACAAGATACTACAGGAAAATATTTGCTAAATTAAAAATAAAGATGAGAAAAGGAAAGCAGAAAGGCCATACATCAGGTTAGGTCAGGTGAGAGCTAAGCAAGGCAAAAATGTTTGGACTTGGGGATGCAGGAGAAGGAGAAAGAGAGGAAGGGAGAAGGAGAGAAGGAGAGAAAGAGAGAGGAAAAAAATCACTGACATTTGACAGCAGGAGAAAAAAATGATGCAGTGGTTCAAGAGAATGACAGAGCTATTTAGGGGCAGATGGACAGAAAATGGGTAAGTTCAGCAGGATTTTGATATAAAAGAACAAAAAGCTTTGTTGAGTCCTGAAAAATAATCACCATAGTGGGTTGGTACCTATTTAAATGACCCAAAGCACATGAGCAAGCCCTCAATTACTTTTGTGGATAAGCCCATCATGGCAGGAATTATTCAAGTTCTGACTGTTCCTGCTCCACCACAATGGAAAGACAGCATGGGGAAATAGAAAGAACCTTGGCTCAGAAATCAGAGGAATGATTCAAAGCCTGCCTCTGATACTACCTATGTGTATATTTGGAAAAGTCACTTCAGCTCCCTAGGCCTCAGTTTCTTCATTTGTAAAATGAAAGAGATGGACCAGTTGACCTCTGAGGTCTAGCTTCCATTACCCATGGAACACACTGTAGCTGTTAGACCTGGGAATGAGACAGTGAGAAGGAATAGAATGAACACTGAATTTGGAGTCAGAGTCCTTAGCCCTGCCATTTAAGACCTGTGTGACCCTAGACAAGTATTTCAACTTCTCTAGGTTATAATTTTCTTATCTTTAAAATGAGAGTTCTGGGTTATCAAAGGTTCTTTACCCTTAGGTCCATGAATTTTTTTTTAATATTTTGAGAACTGTATTTCCATGTAATTAGCTTCCTTTGAAAGCCTGTGAATTTTATTTTTTGTATTTAAAAACATTATTCTAAAAGAGGGTCCATAGATTTCACCTACTGCCAAAGGGTCCATGCCACAAAAAAAAGGTTAAGAATCCCTGGCTTAGATGAACTCACTCACACGTAGCACTAAATCCTGTGAACCTAAGAAATGGATCTATCAGACCTCCCGACCAGTCTCTCACTAAAGTTAGTGAGGGATTTCCATATGTAGTGGAGGAACCACCGTGAAAAATAGACATTTCTTCACAATTTTGGAAAAGCCTAAGTGTGCTAAGTGTCCAATCATGGAGATGGTGTGGCCAAGTTTCTCCCAGAGTAGCATCTGATAAGATTTTACTGCCATGTTTATAAGTAAAGCCAAATCTTCCACAAACTTGCTAGTAATAAAAACATGCCAGGATGCTCCATGGATAATAGCAAGTCTGACAATATAACATTATATTCAATAGGCCAGGACTTTTATGACCATTTGCCTACTGTCTGTTTTGGTGATGTCTGGTAGAATATTCATCATCAGAAATAGCATGCTTAGCTCATCTCCACCCCTCCTCCCCTTTTCCAAGATCACTCATCTGCCAGGAACCTGCTTACATGGAGGAAAAATGTGTGGTCAGTGCTTTCCTGTTGATGAAAATCATAAAATCACAAATTCCTAGGACTAGAAGAGAAGTGAGGTGATCATTTAGTCCATCCCCCTGCCTCAAGCACCTAAGCCATCCCCTAAAGATTATTGTCTGCCTGTTCTGAAAAATTCCCAGCTTCCCTTAGTAATGCATTCCAAATAGATGTGGCAATATAACCAGAACATAGTCTTCTTTTTGAGATGGTTGACTGACGCAGACATCTGAAGGTCACTTAGGACCATCTACGTCATTTGCAATTTGCTTTGCATGTGCATCTGCAAGAGACAGAGAAAGCAATAGACTAACTTGTATAGTTCTCTTACCATAAGGATTCCTTTTCCTAGCCTGGCCTGTGATAGAGAGTCCAGTGAGTATAAGTCCTGGACACTAGGTAGATAGAGCTTGATGTGAAAGTAAAGTCGGTGGCTCTTAAGTTATTTCTTTTAATAACACCACAGAATTTACGGCAAGATTAAAATGTTGAGATCATTTAGCCCAACCATCTCATGTTGCAGGTGAAGAGAAGTACCAGTGATGATCCCCAAGATGACCAAAACAACAGGGAACGTTTTGTTGATAAGTTACTGCAGAAGGATGCTGCAGTTCTATTCTGTGGCCTCTTGAAAGACTGCTTTAGGTGTCATTCCCCACATTTTGAGAAACTATCTTTTTGGAGAATTCATTCCATTAATTGGTGATTCTTAGTAAAAATATATATGTATATATATATATATATTATATATATATATATTTAGGCAAATGGTTATTTCTATATTTTAAAATACTTGCTACTTGATGAACATTTTATGCATCTCTGTTGTTTAGAAACTTTCATGCCAGGGCTTTTTCATACTTTAAATATATTGGTGGCTCTGTGATCTGTTTGATGTGGGTCCTCCCTAATAATGGGGCAGAACACAACCTATCCATGCCTTCTCATCCTATTCAACCCTTGTCTCTGTCCTCTTACAAAGTCTCTTATAGGGATCCACCCAACATGCTAGAGGCCTTCATATACATCTCTTAATATTCCTTGGGTATTAGTACAATATTTAGCCTATCCATGTGCTATATCCTGTTTCTACTACACAACTGGTCCATTTCTTTTCCCCAGCATATATCTCCTGGATGATATATTTCATGCCATTTTCTATACATATCATTGTTGATAATTTATCAGAGCCCATTGATACCCACTATATATTTCTTCATTGTTCTTTGGATTACTTGTAATTTTGATTCTTTAGAGGTTGTAGCATTCTATAACTATTAGCCATACAGCATTATCAGAAGCATATAAGTGCTTAAAAAGAAAGGTCTTACCTACTATTTTAGGTTTTTCCATTTTATTCTTAATAATACTCACTAATAATTAGGAAAAATACACATCAAAGCAAGTCACACCAAGCAAACTGGCAAAGGTGACGAAATTTGGAAATCGTGTTAGTGAGAAAGACAGGCACATTGTTAATACACTGGTGATCCAATCATTCTGGAAAGCAATTTGGAATAATGCTGAGAAATTGACTAAAATGTCAATAACCTTTGACCCAGTGATCCATAACCCAAGGAAATCATTGGCAGAAAGAAAGACTCATATACCCAAGATATTCATAGCATCACTTTTTATAGCAGTGAAAAATTAGGGAAAAAAGTAGATGACCATTGGTTGGGGAATGGCTAGAATATATTAGTGTTCAGTAAGAGATGACAAATATAAATAATTCAGAGAATCATAGGAAGACATATAAACTGATATATAGTGAAGTAGGCACAGTCAGGTAAAGGATATACAAAATCACTTCAATAATGTAAATGGAAAGAACAAAAAAAAATGTAGATAGTGTAATTATACTGACCGAATTTGACCCTATACAAGAATTGAGAAATACGTCTCTCTCCCCTCTTAGCAGAGGTGGTGGATCATGGATGTGGAATATTTTATATACTCTACAA